ATTATGTTAGAACTCAATGATTATCCTAATTATATTTTAGATTTTTTATATTTAAAATGAGATGTTTATCATGTATTTGATTGTGTTTATCTGCAGTTAGTTACACGAATTCAGATATGGAGCTTTAATAAGTTGTACCTATGCACATTTTACTTGTAATTTTGAGTTTTATGTAATATGCATTAATAAACAGTACTTTACACATAAAAAATGGTTTTTAAGAGTTTTTTATCAAATGGTTTATAATATAGAATATATTTTTTTATATAAATTAATTTAAATTTAATAATAAAAAAATTATTTTTGGTTTAATATTATAAATTTTATAAAAATAATAATTAAATATTTTGTTAAAATTTAATGATTATACTAATTATATTTTAGATTTTTTATATTTAAAATGAGATGTTTATCTTGTATTTGATTGTGTTTATCTGTAATTAGTTACACGAATTCATATATGAGATGAAATCGGATAGGGATGAACGAGTTTAAGAGTTTCAAGAGTTTTAGTCAAATGTTTTATAAGATAGTATAGATAAGGTAGAATATTATTATCATTTTTTTAAATTAACATGGATATTCAAACCGTTATGTGAGCAGAGTAATTCCAAAATGACTATCTGTTTTGTAGATAGTACGGAGTCATCGTATTTGAACCTCCTTGGTCATAAAGAGATTTTTATTTCTACATGGATTTGAACCTGAGACTTTCTGGTACTTTTGACCTTTGGAGTCAAGCTTAAACCAATCAGGCACTATCTTTGTTAATTATTTTTAAATTAAATAATATTTTATTTATTAATATAATTAATTTTTTAATATTTAAAATTAAAAAAACTATTGGAATTAAACATAACATTTTTAGAGAAATTTTTAATTTTGATATTTTATAGAAAGAAATAATAGAAAATAAAGGGAAGCATGTGCATAATATTTGGGATTATTAAAAAGGGTGGATTAGATGGAACATGAAATAGGAACAAATGTATGCCATGTTATCCCTTCATAAAATAACAAACAATAATTACAATGATAATATATTCATTTCACAACTAACCACCACCTTTGCTTCTTAGGCCTATTTATCAAACGTTTATCAAGTCATATTACATCATTAAATAAATATAATATAACAATTAAATCAATATAATAATTAAAATATTATTACTTAATTATTTAAATAACTGGTGTCTTTTTAATCTTTATAACAATTGTATATGCCCAAGATGTTATGTTTTTATTTATTTTTATTTTGTTATTATTTTAATTATTTATAGTTTGACTATATATTAAGAATCTTGCCGTAACTGCACTTAAATTCCAATAACCCTTGTTTTATCTAAAGTGAAACTAATTAAAATAGTCATTTTTAGACTTTGGTTTCATTTCATAGTCATTTTTCTCTCAATATTTCAAAAATGTCACTACTTGTGTAAGTGGCAACTCCTTAACTTGTGGAGGGGTCAAACAATCTATCGTAGGTGCAATGATCAAATCGCTAAATACATGTACAGAGATTGCTTCACAGAAAAAGTCTAATTTGATGAAAAGAGTGATGTGTCTAGATTTACATTTATTGAATATGCTTTCTAGTGTGAAAATGCTGAAATATTACTAAGAACGTAGTTTTATTCATAGTGGTCTAATAAGAGAATTGGAGAAACCAATTGTAGACCAATTATATGAGAAAGGATTGAATTTGATCCAAATAAATGGATTTCTTGTAATGTGTTCCCTGAAGAGTCATATGATTATCAGTAGTTGTCTCTAAAACCAAATGACGCTTCTAAGAAGTTGTTTGTTTACTTCTTAATAGTTTTATTAAAAGGTAGTCTTTTAATTGCTAAGAGGTGAATCTTATTTGGCAAAAAAAAAGTATGACTCTTAATGATTCTAAAACCCTCTAAATTATTGTGTATCTTGGGTCTCCTTGAACTATTCAGCGTACTAATTTCATTATGAACAATTACCAAACAATCATATTTCATTTTGCATTATATCGTAAGAGCATCTTAATCATTCTGACCACTTAATCATTCAGCACCAAACCATTCAGCAACTGTCAATTAGCACCTAAGGGGTTGGTTAGCGATTGTTGAATGATTTGGTGCAAAATGATTAGGAGGTGTTTATGATATAGTGCAAAATGAAATATAATTGTTTGATAATTATTCATAATGAAATTAGGGTGATGAATGGTTAAGGGAAACCCAAGATACAAAAACATTTAAAGGGTTTTAGAACCATTAAGAGAGAGATTTTTTTTTTTTTGCCAAACAAGATTCATCTCTTACGATTCAGAGGTTGCCTCTTATAGAACTATTAAGAGATACACAAACAACCTCTAAGTCATCCTATCAAAAACTCTAAAAAACTCCAAACTCAACTCAGATCCCTCTATGACTTAGTATACATATCAATAAGAAAAAATGTTAGGCTCAACACCAAGTGAGTTAAAGCCGTTTATCTCATAAACATAAAAGCAGTACAACCCGAAGAGTTTCCTCTTTAACCCAAATTCCTTATTTAAGATTACATTTAAAGTTAAAGGAATATATTTCCAAAATGAGACTCAACAATGAAATATTCTTTTAAGATCAAGCCGTCATTTGAACTTACTCTTGAAAATGATTGAATAATGTTTAGCTCGTATAATGTCTGAAATAAGATATTACAATATATTCCAAAATCATTGAAAGCACGGATAAACTCAATAACTTGGCAACACCTTTCAGTCACGAGGGGAGACCCGATTCCATCTACTGTGGCATAATACAAAGTAAGCCATTATTCGATGTTATAAAGTAGCGCCCTAAGATAACAGTCTTGGTGTCTAACCCTTCTCAATTTTCCACTGCAGTACCTAAGGTCTAGGAACCCGACCCACACGAGTTCATCTCTGTAATACCCGACCCTATGCTTATTTTACACCATAGAGTTACACCTACAAGCCGATTGTCCTAGGGCCCGA